ACACACAGCTACAAACAAAGACAAACAAAGATCCCCCGTATAGCCTTAACAGACTGTAGGGGCAAGTGCTGTTAGCGAGCACCTATGAAGGCCGGAACGGTACACGAGGGGGTGGGTGGCCAGCACCACGCCCGACCGCCTTTGTCTCCCTAGTGGCGATATTTACACACCGCACAAGGTACTCATTTGAGGCTGAGTCGACCTAGGGGAGGCCCGGGACCGGTTCAGATGATCGTCACTGGTGTTGGCCGTGAGCGGGAATCGAACCCGGGTCGCCAGGTTCATAGCGCAGCGCGCTAACCGCACACACAAACACACAAACACAAACAGCTACACAGCTACACACACAGCTACACACACAGCTACACACACAAACACACACAGTCACACACAGTCACACACAGCTACACACACAGCTACACACACAGCTACACACAGCTACAAACACACACAGCTACACTCACAACTAAACACACAAACACACACAGTCACACACAGCTACACACACAGTTACACACACAGTTACACACACAGCTACACACACAAACACAAACAGCTACACAGCTACACACACAAACACACACAAACACACACAGCTACACACACAGCTACACACACAAACACAGTCACACACAGCTACACACACAGCTACACTCACAGCTACACACACAGCTACACTCACAGCTACACACACAGCTACACACGCAGCTACACACACAGCCACACAGCTACACTTACAAACACACAGCTACACACACACAGCTACACACACAAACACAGCTACACACAGAGCTACACACACAGCCACACACAGCCGCACAAACACACACAGCTACACACGGAGCTACACACAAACACACACAGCCACACACAGCTACACACACAGCCACACAGCTACACAGCTACACACACAGCTACACAGCTACACACACAGCTACACACACAGCCGCACAAACAGCTACACACACAGCTACACACACAAACACACACAGCTACACACAAACACACAGCTACACACACAAACACACACAGCCACACACAGCTACACACACAGCTACACACACAAACACACACAGTCACACACACAGCTACACACAGCCACACACACAGCTACACACACAGCTACACACACAGCCACACAGCTACACTCACAAACACACAGCTACACACACACAGCTACACACACAGCCACACAGCTACACTCACAAACACACAGCTACACGGCTACACACACAGCTACACTCACAAACACACAGTTACACACACAGCTACACACACAGCCGCACAAACAGCTACCCACAGCTACACACACAGCTACACACACAGCTACACTCACAAACACACACAGCTACACACAGCCGCACAAACAGCTACACACACAGCTACACACACAAACACACAATGCTACACACAAACACACACAGCTACACACAAACACACAGCTACACACACGGCTACACATAAACACACACAGCCACATACAGCTACACACAAACACACACAGCTACACACAGCCACACACACAGCTACACACAGCTACACATAAACACACAGCCACACACAGCTACACACACAGCCACACACACAAACACACACAGTCACACACAGCTACACACAGCCACACACGGCCACACACAAACACACACAGCCACACACAGCTACACACACAGCTACACACAAACACACAGCCACACACAGCTACACACACACACAGATACATACACAGCCACACACACAGCTACACACAGCTACACACACACAGCCACACATAAACACACAGCCACACACAAACACACACAGCTGCACACAGCTACACAAAACACACAGTTACACACAGCTACACACAAACACACAGCTACACACAAACACACACAGCTACACACAAACACACACAATGCTACACACACAGCTACACACAAACACACAGCTACACGCAAACACACACGGCTACACACAAACACACAATGCTACACACAAACACACACAGCTACACGCAAACACACACGGCTACACACACAGCTCGCTACACGACCACACTAAAACAAAGATCCCCCGTACAGTCTTTGACAGGTTGCCAAGTGTACGCTGTTCGCGACCACCTGTGAAGGCGGAAACAGCACACGACGGGGGGTGCGTGGCCAGCACTTCCACGCCCGGCCGCCTTTGTCTCCCCAAAACTGATGTGTATACACCGCACCGTGTGTGTTTTTTTTGTCAGGTTGAGTCAACCGTAGGGGAGGTTCAGGACTGCTTCAGACATTCGCCGCTCGCGTCAACAGCGAGCGTGCGGTAGTGGAACTCTGGTCGCCGGGTTCGTAGCGCAGCGCGCTCACCATTGCGCCACCGCTCCCCACGACACTCACCCGGCCGGGGACGGGTGAGGGAGGAGGGGAAGGGTCCTTGCCCGAACCAAAGGCGAACGCCTCCTTACATTTCTGCGGTTACTCATTGGTTTTTTTCGGTAGAGCCACGTATGTAGAAATACAATAAAATTATATTAATTATTGTATTTCTACATACGTGACTTACCGAAAAAAACTATGAGTAATTTTACGCAGTCACGAAAGCTTTAATACTTTATTATTTCTGCGGTTATTTGTTTTTGGGTGGTAACGCTGCTGCCGCTACCGCTATTAACTGCTGCTGCTATCGCTGCTGCTATTAGCCACTGCTGCCGCTATCGCTGCCGCTATTAGCCGCTGCTGCTGCTGCTATTAGCCACTGCTGCTGCTGCTATTAGCCACTGCTGCTGCCACTGCTGCTGCTATTAGCCACTGCTGCTGCTGCTGCTATTAGCCACTGCTGCTGCTATTAGTCGCTGCTGCTGCCGCTATCGCTGCTGCTATTAGTCGCTGCTGCCACTGCTGCTGCTATTAGTCGCTGCTGCTATTAGCCACTGCTGCTGCTATTAGCCACTGCTGCTATTAGCCACTGCTGCTGCTATTAGCCACTGCTGCTATTAGCCGCTGCTGCTGCTGCTGCTGCTATTAGCCGAGTAGCCGAGGGCCGTTTTTGGAGCGACCGCGCGCAGAGCCGCGATTGCCGAACCGCCGTGCTCACTCGTCACCCCGTAGAGTTTCTCACCACCCTCACCCCACATACTCACCTCCACCTACCACCCACCTACCCCCCTCACCTACCCCTCTCACCTACCCCCCTCACCACCCTCACCCCACATACTCACCTCCACCTACCCCCCTCACCTACCCCTCTCACCTACCCCCCTCACCACCCTCACCCCACATACTCACCTCCACCTACCCCCCACCTACCCCCCTCACCTACCCCTCTCACCTACCCCCCTCACCACCCTCACCCCACATACTCACCTCCACATACTCACCTCCACCTACCCCCTCACTTACCCCTCTCACTTACCCCCCTCACTTACCCCCCTCACCTACCCCCCTCACCTACCCCCCTCACCTACCCCCCTCACCTACCCCCCTCTCCTACCCCCCTCACCTACCCCCCTCACCTACCCCCCTCACCTACCCCCCTCTCCTACCCACCTCACCTACACCCCTCACCTACCCCCCACACCTACCCCCCTCACCTACCCCCTCACCTACCCCCCCACAAAACCCCCCAACCTACCCCCCCATCTAATTCAGCAGGACCTTACCTCTGCGTTAGTGTAAAAATCCACCCACTCATGAATATTAATGAGGGGGGGGGGGGCTCATGTAGAGTGACGTCACGCAAGGGGGTGGGCCTCATGTGGAGTGACGTCACGCACGGGACACATTCTTGGCGTATTATTGTAGTAATTGATCTTCGTACACTATATTCTCTGTGGAGAGGGGATGACCACCCGCTGGGAGATGGAGCGGTGAGTTCGCCTGCCGTTGCTGGGGTACGGATTCTCGTTGGGGGTTGATGGCGCTTTGGGGAGGCCTTCATCCAGCAGTAAAATGATCATGGCTGCTGCTGCTGATGATGATATTCAATTAAACTAAATTATTTTACCAGGTATGGCCCACTGAGCGATATAGATGTTTTTCATAAGCCACCTGGCCACAACTTTACCAAGTGGCTTAAACCCACGACTTCCTGCATACCAGGCGAGGGAGTTAACATCTCGCCACCGCGATCAGAAGTTTGTATCTCCACGTGGAGACACGGAGAATGGCTCTGCTTAGAATGTCAATAGGCACGCATCAGGTCCCACAGCAACACATCATGAGCTTGTGGACAATACTCAGAGTCCGATTGACGATACCATCTGGGTAACGCGGCAGCGTTTGCTTCACGAGCCTGACTGCTGATGAGACCCAGGAGATATTTAAAAAAAAAACCGGTGCAGAGTTTGCCTGCCGGGACTAATACTGCTCCTGCTGGAGAATATTGGTGTGGAACGCCAACATTATTATTATTACTACTACAGTTTTAATATTAGGCCGATGAACCGACAGGGTTGCGTTGATTGATTTGCGTGCGAAGAAGACGCGGCTGACGTCGGCCCCGTGGGCCTATTGGGCTCGCCCTCGTGGCCACGCCCTGCTGATGATACCCGGAGACGTCGAAGCCGATGTTGTTGGGATTTTGCATCCCCGAGCACCGTGGTTGAGATGGTGCGGCAGTCCGGGGCTGGGGCTGCTGCTGCTGCAGGGCCCCACTGGTCACTGTGCCGCGCTCCCACGGCACGGAGACCCCCCCCCCCCACCGCCTGCCCTGTGGACTCGTCCATCGGTCTCCGACATCCAAGACTCCCCACAGCTCCCCCCCCCCCTCTGTGGGGGAGGGGGGCTGGGGGGAGGGGGGGGCTGGGGGGAGAGGGGGGCTCGCAGCTCCGTCCGCGAAGCGAGCGGCCTCGCCTCGGCGCGAGAATTCTCACCGTCCCGCAAATTCCACGATTTAAATAGAGACGGGGGGAGGGGCACGTCCCACCCGCCCCTTCTCCCCCCTCCCCTCTATCCCCCCCCCCCCTACACGGGATGACTCTTTGTAACAGCTGAATGATCCTGGCAGAAGGAAGGAAGCGATGACGCTTCACGTACCGTTCGACAGCGCCTGCTGCAATTCCATTGCAGAGATAGTTCCACTTCGGTCCTTGTCCACCCTGTGGGTAGGGGGGGGGGGCCCACACACGGCATTCATTAAGTTGGAGAGCGGTTCGTGGTGGGAACTTGAGCCATCATTGGGGGGGGGGGGGGGGCGGGGAGGCGGTGTGGCGGTGGCGGTCGTGGTGGGGAGCGGTGGTGCAGCGGTTAGCGCCACGCTACGAACCCAGCCGCCCGAGTTCAATTCCTGCTCGCGGCCAACACCAGTGACGATTATCTGAACCGGTCCTGGGCCTCCCCTAGGTCGACTCAGCCTCAATTGAGTACCTGGTGCGATGTGTAAACATGGAAAATGGCGAGACAAAGGCGGCCGGGCGTGGTGCTGGCCACCCACCCCATCGTGTGCTGTTCCAGCCTTCACAGGTGCTTGCGAACAGCACTTGTCCCTGGGTAACGCGGCAGTCTGTTAAGGCTACACGGGGGATCTTTGTTGTTGGTGGTGGCGGTGAAGAGTCAGATCTGCAGCGGTCGGCAGGTCAGAGCAGGGAGTTATCGTTGCGAGGAGTTCCGTTCCGTCTCAAACGGGCTGCACGTCTTCCCTGAGCGTCAGTCGACGCTTGCCTCGCCCAGCTGTGTGTTGTGTCGGGGTTCAAGGCCACCCGGTGAACACCCTTCAATAATCGACCGAGTTTGTGACAAATTCCAGCGTTCTAGCTCTTCTAGAACGTTAGTGCCAAATTCCAGTGTTCTGGCCCTTCTAGAACATCGCAAGATTTGACATCGATCGTATATCTAACCCCGTTCAGTGCCCCAAATTTAAACCTCTTGAGGTGAGAATTGAGCCCAGAACAATGATCACCAAAGGTCATTTGAGTCTAATTTAGTGGGAGTTTAACCCGGGAGGACCGCATTACCACATGAACTGCACACCCGCTGCTAATCAGCAAACACGGTGATAGTGGAAGTATTACCACGTACATGGTAAGGGAGTCGCGGTGGCTAGGAGATGTTAACTACCTCGCATGGAATACAGGAGGTCGTGCGTTTGATCCCGTCCCTGACGCCTGCTGGATATTTGAGGTTTGTGTCTCTCTCGGTCTCTCTCCCCGTGGTCCCGTGGATTTTTCTCCGGTTCCTCCGATTTTCCCCTTCACATTTAGAATCAACATCACTGCGTTCAGAGTATTTGGCTGATATAAATTTCCACGTGATGATAAGCCACTTTGTTGAGCTATCATTTGTGGCCAGGTCGCTTCTAAAAGAAAGAGCTACATCGCTCAGTGGGCCTCACCTGGTAAACTAAACAGTGAATAGTTGAGTTCATGGTATAATACAAAGCCCGGTCTCCAACTCGCCTCCACTATACCGCTCGAGCTTCTCTATGTGCTGCCATGGAGGACCGTTGCCCGAAACGTCGCCTATTATATTACACAGTTTTTCCTCTGTAAGGCCACACGCACAGTGATGCCACTTCGAGCGTTTAGTCGTTCCATTGTCCTTCCACCGCACCTCCGACTAGCGCGGTTAGCTCCGTGCGGTGCGAACGAAGTTCAACACACAGGGGACGTACACACACACACGGGACGTACACACACACGTACACACACACACACGCAGGGGTACACACACACACGCAGGGGACGTACATACACACACGGGACGTACACACAGGGGACGTACACACAGGGGACGTACACACACACACGTACACACACACGTACGCACACGGGACGTACACACACGCACACAGGGGACGTACACACACACAGGGGACGTACACACACAGGGGACGTACACACACACACACACGTACACACACACAGGGGACGTGCACACACACACACGTACACACACACACAGGGGACATACATACACACGGGACGTACACACGTACACACACACAGGGGACGTACACACACGCACACACACGCAGGGGACGTACACACACACACACCTGACGTACACACACACAGGGGACGTACACACAGGGGACGTGCACACACACGTACACACACACGTACAGACACACAGGGGACGTACACACACACACACACGTACACACACACAGAGGACGTACACACACACACGTACACACACACACGGGACGTACACACACACACACACGGGACGTACACACACGCACGTACACACACGGAACGTACACACACACAACAGGGGACGTACACACACACACACCTGACGTACACACACACACGGGACGTACACACACGTACACACACACACCTGACGTACACACACACACCTGACGTACACACACACACGGCACGTACAAACACACACACGTACACACACACACGGGACGTACACACACGTACACACACACCTGACGTACACACAGGGGACGTACACACACACACACGGGACGTACACACACACACGTACACACACACACACGTGTACACACACACGTACACACCTGACGTACACAGGGGACGTACACACACACGCAGGCGTGCGCAGAATGTGAACGCTCTTTTTGTTTCGTTCCGTTTCTTCTGCCGGCGCGGTGCGATTCGAGCTCCGTGAGCCAAGGACATTAATCGTCGGGGCAGCAGCGCCAATCCGCCTCGCTCGTGCGGCCCTCCACCACCCCGCCGCGGGGAGGGGGGGGGGATTTCTGTTCGCCGCTCGCTGTCCGCCAGGCGGTGCCACTGCTCGATGGGGGCGACGCGCGGGCTCCTTGTCAGTGATGCGGCTCAAAATAAAGTGTCACGAAATGGGTGGCGACGCGAAACGTCGTCGTCGGTCCCCTGGCTGCTGCCGGTCAGAACCGAGCCGCGGTCCCTCGACTCTGCACGGCCAAAGTTGGCCCGGATAATTGGCGTGACAGACCGGGTCGGTTTCCTGCCTGTGTGGACTTGATAACAACAACAACATAAGTGGCGCGTGTTTTTAAAGGGAATAACCCGAATCCACCCCGCTCCAACACCACCACATCTGTCTGCGTTGTGCCTAATTAGGGGGCCCGGGGAGTCCGTACGGGGTTAATGGTGGCCGAGGTGAGAGTTAGGACCCCTATGACTGGGGTCTAGGGGGTGCTGAGTGCAGAGGGGACCCGGACCAAACAGTAAACCGTCGACTACCTTCAATATCATTGTCCTAGGCGACGAGTATCCACGATCATCGCCAACCATAACTATGATCGTCTCGTCAAAACATCATCACAGTTGTCACCATCAGCAGCATCAGCCGCAGGGACAGCACTCGTCAACATCGTCGTAAAGCGCCGCATCAACATCCAATCTCCATCACGAGTAGCAGTGGCACCAAAATCATGCACATCATCATCAGCATCATCATCACAGACAATAATAACACAATCATCCAATCCTCACCATGATCCAATCATCATCCATCACCCAATCATCACCATCGTCAAATTAACGCTCACCATCAGCTGGGTCTCACCTCTGAAACATCGAGTAGAGAAAGGCTTGATCCTGTACCGAGCCCTTGGCCATCGCGACCCCGGGGCCAGCGAGGGGCAGCGCTCCGAGAGGTGGGGGGCAGCGGGGAGAGGTGGGGGCAGCGGGGGCAGGAGGTGGGGGGCAGCGGGGAGAGGTGGGGGCAGCGGGGGCAGGAGGTGGGGGGCAGCGGGGAGAGGTGGGGGGCAGCGGGGAGAGGTGGGGGCAGCGGGGAGAGGTGGGGGGCAGCGGGGGCAGGAGGTGGGGGGCAGCCGGGGGCAGGAGGTGGGGGGCAGCGGGGGCAGGAGGTGGGGGGCAGCCGGGGGCAGAGACACCCCGCGCGATGTGTGGCGTGATACAGAGAGCGTGAGAGAGTGAGAAAGAGCGTGAGACAGAGACAGAGAGAGAGTTAGACAGAGAGCGTGAGACAGAGAGAGAGAGACAGAGAGAGAGAGTTAGACAGAGAGCGTGAGACAGAGATATAGAGTTAGACAGAGAGAGTGAGACAGAGAGCGTGAGAGAGAGAGTGAGTCAGAGAGAGTGAGACAGAGAGAGAGTGAGACAGAGAGAGCGTGAGACAGAGAGCGTGAGAAAGAGAGTTAGACAGAGAGCGTGAGACAGAGAGAGAGAGACAGAGAGAGAGTTAGACAGAGAGCGTGAGACAGAGATATAGAGTTAGACAGAGAGAGTGAGACAGAGAGCGTGAGAGAGAGAGTGAGACAGAGAGAGTGAGACAGAGAGAGAGTGAGACAGAGAGAGCGTGAGACAGAGAGCGTGAGAGAGATATAGAGTTAGACAGAGAGAGTTAGACAGAGTGAGACAGAGAAAGAGAGTGAGACAGAGAGAGTGAGACAGAGACAGAGAGTGAGACAGAGCGAGCGTGAGACAGAGAGAGCGAGAGAGAGAGAGAGAGCGTGAGAGAGATATAGAGTTAGACAGAGAGAGTGAGACAGATATATAGCGTTAGACAGAGCGCGTGAGAGAGAGCGAGAGACAGAGAGGGAGTGAGACGGAGAGGCTCGCATCCTCCTCCTCGCTCTTCCCCTCCCTCTTCCGTGGACGTCACGGCGCGCACTCACACACGTGTGTCAGTGTGTACGCGCGTGTGTGTACACGCGTGTGTCAGTGTGTGTGTGTACACGCGTGTGTGTGTACACGCGTGTGTCAGTGTGTGTGTACACGCGTGTGTCAGTGTGTGTGTACACGCGTGTGTCAGTGTGTGTGTACACGCGTGTGTCAGTGTGTGTGTACACGCGTGTGTCAGTGTGTGTGTACACGCGTGTGTCAGTGTGTGTGTACACGCGTGTGTGGGGGTGTGAGTATAGTGGGGAGCGGTAGTGTAGTGGTTAGCGCTACGCTGCGCGACGATCCCGGCAACCCGAGGATCGATTCCCACTCACGGCCACCAACATCGGTGACGATTTTCTGAATCGGTTCTGGGACTCTCCTAGTTCGACTCAGCCTCAAGTGAGTACCTGGTGCGGTGTGTAAACATCGCCACTGGGGAGACAAAGGCGGCCGGGCGTGACGCTGGCCACCCATCGTGTCCCGTGTCGACACGTGCCCCAACAGTAACCTGTGTAGGTTATAGGGGGGGGGGGGTCTTTGTCTTTGTTTGTGTGAGTGTTTGGGGAGCGGTGGCGCAGTGGTTAGCGTACTGTGGCACATTACAATACGTTAACATTTTAAACAGCTACCGCGCTTGGCTTGCTATCACAAACGGTTGTCATCTAGGGATAGACTCCTTGAAGGAAATGCTTGATAGCAATGGCCTTCCTGAGGAGTACCGATTAGACATTCGTGGTTCCAATGGGCTCAAAGGCTTGTACAGTTTAAAACTGCTGTTACTCCAGCACGCCACCTGCTGTACAATAAAACAAAACGCGCTCGTCAACAAACAGCGCGAGTCCTGAACATGAAAACAACATAAATATATAACAGACGTTTCGGGCAATGGACCTTCTTCATAGCACATTAACGTATCTGTTCTGTGTGTAGAGTGACGGCTTGTAAGTTCGAGTCGGGGCTTTGCGGGTTATCATCTCGGAAGAAGAAAAATAATTGTCCGAACCCGGCACACTACGTCCAGTATACACACGCCTCTCGCTGTACATGTGGCTTACTCATCACCATCATCCAATCATCACCTACCACCTACTCCGGTCTAGCCGCCTCCGACACCACATCGGTGTTGTTTGACCATACTTCACCACCCCAGTAAGCGGTGCATCACTGCGTCTGCCTGTCGCGCACCGCGTCTGCCTGTCGCGCACCGCGTCTGCCTGTCGCGCCCCGCGTCTGCCTGTCGCGCCCCGCGTCTGCCTGTCGCGCCCCGCGTCTGCCTGTCGCGCCCCGCGTCTGCCTGTCGCGCCCCGCGTCTGCCTGTCGCGCCCCGCGTCTGCCTGTCGCGCCCCGCGTCTGCCTGTCGCGCCCCGCGTCTGCCTGTCGCGCCCCGCGTCTGCCTGTCGCGCCCCGCGTCTGCCTGTCGCGCCCCGCGTCTGCCTGTCGCGCCCCGCGTCTGCCTGTCGCGCCCCGCGTCTGCCTGTCGCGCCCCGCGTCTGCCTGTCGCGCCCCGCGTCTGCCTGTCGCGCCCCGCGTCTGCCTGTCGCGCCCCGCGTCTGCCTGTCGCGCCCCGCGTCTGCCTGTCGCGCCCCGCGTCTGCCTGTCGCGCCCCGCGTCTGCCTGTCGCGCCCCGCGTCTGCCTGTCGCGCCCCGCGTCTGCCTGTCGCGCCCCGCGTCTGCCTGTCGCGCCCCGCGTCTGCCTGTCGCGCCCCGCGTCTGCCTGTCGCGCCCCGCGTCTGCCTGTCGCGCCCCGCGTCTGCCTGTCGCGCCCCGCGTCTGCCTGTCGCGCCCCGCGTCTGCCTGTCGCGCCCCGCGTCTGCCTGTCGCGCCCCGCGTCTGCCTGTCGCGCCCCGCGTCTGCCTGTCGCGCCCCGCGTCTGCCTGTCGCGCCCCGCGTCTGCCTGTCGCGCCCCGCGTCTGCCTGTCGCGCCCCGCGTCTGCCTGTCGCGCCCCGCGTCTGCCTGTCGCGCCCCGCGTCTGCCTGTCGCGCCCCGCGTCTGCCTGTCGCGCCCCGCGTCTGCCTGTCGCGCCCCGCGTCTGCCTGTCGCGCCCCGCGTCTGCCTGTCGCGCCCCGCGTCTGCCTGTCGCGCCCCGCGTCTGCCTGTCGCGCCCCGCGTCTGCCTGTCGCGCCCCGCGTCTGCCTGTCGCGCCCCGCGTCTGCCTGTCGCGCCCCGCGTCTGCCTGTCGCGCCCCGCGTCTGCCTGTCGCGCCCCGCGTCTGCCTGTCGCGCCCCGCGTCTGCCTGTCGCGCCCCGCGTCTGCCTGTCGCGCCCCGCGTCTGCCTGTCGCGCCCCGCGTCTGCCTGTCGCGCCCCGCGTCTGCCTGTCGCGCCCCGCGTCTGCCTGTCGCGCCCCGCGTCTGCCTGTCGCGCCCCGCGTCTGCCTGTCGCGCCCCGCGTCTGCCTGTCGCGCCCCGCGTCTGCCTGTCGCGCCCCGCGTCTGCCTGTCGCGCCCCGCGTCTGCCTGTCGCGCCCCGCGTCTGCCTGTCGCGCCCCGCGTCTGCCTGTCGCGCCCCGCGTCTGCCTGTCGCGCCCCGCGTCTGCCTGTCGCGCCCCGCGTCTGCCTGTCGCGCCCCGCGTCTGCCTGTCGCGCCCCGCGTCTGCCTGTCGCGCCCCGCGTGTCGACAGCCGGACTGTTGTCTGAGTGTGTGCGCTCATGTGTTCAGACGACAAAGACAGAGATCCCCCGTGTAGCCTTAACAGACTGTAGGGGCAAGTGTTGTTAGCGAGCACCTGTGAAGGCCGGTACGGCGCACGAGGGGGTGGGTGGCCAGCACCACGCCAGGCCGCCTTTGTCTCCCCTTAGTGGCGATGTTCACACATCGCACCAGGTACTCATTTGAGGCTGAGTCGTCCTACGGGTGGCCCAGGACCGGGTTCAGACAGTCATCAGTGGTAGTGGTGGTGGCCACGAGCAGCAGGGATCGAACTCGTGTCGCCCGGTTCGTAGTGCAGCGCGCTCACCGCCACGACCCAGGCCCTTCGTGGCGATGTCTGCGTGCTCGCGAGCGGACAGTCGACGTATTGGACACACGTGGAGAGACGCGCACGCAGGCAGAGCGAGACAAGTTGCGTGCGAGTCTGTTCGGCCTCGACCCCGCACACCTCAATGTCAGCCGCCACCGCTGCTGTGCTGCTCAGTCGAAAAACAACCCGAGCCGTGCCACGCGCGTGCAGCGGCACCGTGCCAGAGGAGGGAGGGAGGGTGGTGAATACTGAGAATTTTAATGTCAATCAGATGTGTGGCTGTTGACGGGGAATGACACGGCGTGTGCTCTCATAGCAACAAAAACAAACTCGGAACGACACTGCGCGCGCGTGTGTGACTCTTAAAAGAACATAATTTATACAGCAGAGCGACGTTTCGGGCAATGGCCCTCCTTCACAGCACACACACTCTCGTCCCAAACGTCGATCCGCAAACACACGCGCGCACACGCGTGCAGTGTTGTGTTCATTATCAAGGAACGTGTTGATGCTTCTGCTGCTGTTGTCTGTCTGTTTACACAGCAGCATTGCCAAAAACATTTAATTAATATTTGTGGGTGACTTTGGTCAATTGCAAAAATCAATCTTTCCCTGAATGTGTGGTACATTCCACCACCAGTCACCAGTTGTCCATCCTTAATGGCCACGGAGTTCACGAGGACACTCCCTCTCTCACTTTGTCCCACTTCTCACATTCAACAACAATACTATCCCACTGTGTTTCTCTTCTAGAATCAAGCAAAACCGTTCAATATTTAAACTTGTAGCATCTTCTAAATGTGTAAACATCACCCCCGTGTGCGTGAGGTGCTCAGGGCAGGATAAGGGAGATGGGCAGGGTAGGGTGAGGGAGATGCCCAGAGCAGGGTGAGGGAGATGCTCAGAGCAGGGTGGGGGAGATGGGCAGGGCAGGGTGAGGGAGATGCTCAGGGCAGGGTGAGGGAGATGCTCAGGGCAGGGTGAGGGAGATGCTCAGGGCAGGGTGAGGGAGATGCTCAGGGCAGGGTGAGGGAGATGCCCAGGGCAGGGTGAGGGAGATGCTCAGGGCAGGGTGAGGGAGATGCCCAGAGCAGGGTGAGGGAGATGGGCAGGGTAGGGTGAGGGAGATGCTCAGGGCAGGGTGAGGGAGATGCTCAGAGCAGCGAGGGGGAGATGCTCAGGGCAGGGTGAGGGAGATGCTCAGAGCAGGGTGAGGGAGATGCTCAGAGCAGGGTGAGGGAGATGCTCAGGGCAGGGTGAGGGAGATGCTCAGGGCAGGGTGAGGGAGATGCTCAGGGCAGGGTGAGGGAGATGCTCAGGGCAGGGTGAGGGAGATGCCCAGAGCAGGGTGAGGGGGAGATGCCCAGGGCAGGGTGAGGGGGAGATGCCCAGGGCAGGGTGAGGGAGATGGGCAGGGCAGGGTGAGGGAGATACTCAGAGCAGGGTGAGGGAGATGGGCAGGGCAGGGTGAGGGAGATGCTCAGGGCAGGGTGAGGGGGAGATGCTCAGAGCTGGACGCTGGAGGTCTCGGCTGCGCCTTCCGGAATCACCGCGACCCCGCGGGGCTGCGCCATGTGGCGCCACACGGCCAGTGCGAGGCGCGCGACCAGCAGCACGCACGTCACGCCCAGCAGCACCACTGCAAAGACACAGACAAAGGTCCCCCGTGTAGCCCACGCCGAACTGTCCGGGGGCAAGTGCCCTGCCGCACCAGGTACTCGTTTTAAGGCTGCGTCGACCTAGGGGAAGCCCGGAGACCGGTTCAGATTTTCGCCACCGATTGTTGGCCATGATTGGAAATGTAACTCGGGTCGCCGGGTTCGTAGGGCAGTGTCAGCTGCAGAACAAGAAATGTTAACTACCTCACCTGGTATGCAGGAGGTCGTGGGATCGTTCTCGACCCTGACGCCTGGTGCTGTACATTTGGAGTTTGCGTGTCTCTCTTATCATCATCACGGTGGTTACGAGATGTTGACACCCTCGCCAGGTATACAGGAGGTCGTGGTTTCGATTTCGACCCTGACGCCTGCTGCTGTATATTTGGAGTTTGCGTCTCTCTCTCTCTCTCTCTTTTGTGGTCGGGTGGATTTTTCTCCGGTTCCTCAGGTTTTCCCCTCCACGTTTAGAATCAAAATCTCGCCTTCAGAGCATTCGGCTGCGATACATTTCGACGTGGTAAGCAACTTCGTCGAGCTATCATTTGTGACTGCCAGGTCGCTTCTGAAAACGAGCTATAAAGCTTAGTGGGCATTACCTGTTGAAGTCCCATAGTTAAATTGTATTTAGTTTAATAATAATAACAGATTTCCCAGCCGACACGATGCATTCACTTTGTGGCTCACTCCCTCTTCCTGAACCCTGAGATGTAACAACATCATCATCATCGTCGCTGCCCAAGTTCGACAAGAACGACACCGCCAATCTCTCGACTGCGATTGAACAGCAGCAGCGGCAGCAGCGGCAGCAGCGGCAGCAGCAGGGGCAGCAGCGGCAGCAGCAGGGGCAGCAGCAGGGGCAGCAGCGGCAGCAGCAGGGGCAGCAGCAGCAGGGGCAGCACCGCCCCCTTCTCGGCGGCTTGCAAGAGCAAGCGCCGAGTCACCGCTTGCCGCACAGGGACAGCTGCCACTTTGGTGGGGCCCCTTGCAAATTGCGTTCAGATGCGAGTCGCTCATCGCGTGTGCAGCGTTCTCGCTCTCTCTCGAAGACTCCCTGGCGTGAAGGAGGGACGGCTCCATCATCAGCCTCCTCCCCTTGCATGATCTGTCCCTGGTTGTTGTTGTTTTATCAGAGGTGTCAACACTAAGCCCACCTCGCTTAGCCCCGTTATTACTCTCCCTCTTTGTCTCTCTCTCTTTGTCTCTCTCACTTTCATCTCTCTCCCTCTTTGTCTCTCTCTCTCTTTGTCTCTCTCCGACGCGCTCTCTCTTTCGCCCCCTCTTCCTCACGCACTCTCTCGCACACACTCCCTCCCTCCCACACACTCCCTCCCTCCCCCCCGTCTCTCACCCGTGAAGACGTCGTTGCCGGAGGGGCTCTCCGCGTCGTAGTTGCGGCTCACGCTGCCGCTGAGCGCCACGATCACCACGGGGTAGACGGTGAGCGTGTAGCGCACGTGACGCTCCAGCACCACCACCTCCAGCACGAACCTGGACAACAACAACAACAACAAACAAAAACCGTCACGCAACACAGACCACGGCGCTCGTGCCAGGCTAGGTGCGCATGTGAGGCCACGCTATGTGTGCGCGGCGTGCAGTCTCGCTAGCGGGACGTCACCCGGACCGGTGCCAGCACAGCGCCGCATTCCACACTCGGTGTTTTCCTGCGACGTAGCTCGTTACGGGCGTCGTTTGACCATACTTCACCACGATGGGCAGCGCGCGCCGGTGAAGGCGGGGGGGGGGGGGAGCATAGAAGCACAGTACCGCAATGGGGTTTGCTGCACTGCCCTCTGCTGCACACCACGTGGTAGCCCTCTGCTGCTCGCACCTCGCGCGGTTGGCTTCGTGCGGTGCGAAAGAAGTTCAACTTACAGCGGCCTATAGCACCTGTTATGCACGGTGGTCACCCGGGCCAAGCGCTCTCCAGCCTCAACCCTTGCCTGGGGTTCGACCTCTGACGAGTTCGGGGCGCAGACAGAATTGTGTCTCTCGTCTGGCGCCCGATGAGAGGGCTTCAGCAGAGAGAGACAGAGAAAGTTGGTGTCGTGTCGCTGTTCCTCCCCGTCCGTTGGGTTGCATGGCCACAGTCACACTGCTGTGGCTTGTCTTTAATATATCTCTACGTACATGTAGTATCTCTATGGGGCTCTGTGTATCTCTATGGGTCTCTGTGCATTTATATAGGTCTATATGTATCTGTATGGGTTTACTGTGTGGTCCAGAGATTGGGTTGCATGGCCACAGTCACACTGCTGTGGCTTGTCTTTAATATATCTCTACGTACATGTAGTATCTCTATGGGGCTCTGTGTATCTCTATGGGTCTCTGTGCATTTATATAGGTCTATAGGTATCTGTATGGGTTTACTGTGTGGTCCAGAGATTTGATTGCATGGCCACAGCCGCAATACTGTGGCTTGTCTTTAATATATCTCAATGTGTCACTATGAGTTTACTCTATCTATGAATCGCTGTGTGTCCCTATGCATCTCTATGAGTCTCTGTCTCCCAATGGACTTTACTATATGGCCCATAGTTTGAGTTGCACTACTGTGGCTTGGGTTTAATATATCGCTACATACAGTATATCTATGGGTCTCTGTGCATCGCTATGGGTCTATGTAGCGCTTAGTGTCTCTCTGGGTTTACTGTGTGGTGCGTAGTTTAATGCGTGTATCAGGTCTGTTGGTGTGACGTTCCGGATGGTCATCGACAGGGCTGAACTTTGTCACTCGCGACTCTCTGCAACTCAGCTGGGCTGGCTTGGAGTAGCGATTATCGGCATAAGGCACGAGCACTAGGATACAGGGCACGCCTATGCACAACAAAAACAATAATAATCCCACACTATTATACTCTACCCGATATTCCTATAGTTCCATAAACGCGATGGAAAAAATCAGAATAGGCTTTTAGTCTTCCTGAAGGTGTTAAGATGTTTACACACTAAATAGATACCTATTGGAAGGCATCAAGTCTGCGTTAACCACACACAATACTTGTGGTGAAACATGCAAACACGCTCCGATATCTGCCATGGTCTTTGAAACTGATCCACCTACACCAGAGACAGCTGCCATCGTCTTTGAAACTGATTCACCTATACCAGAGACAGCTGCCACCGTCTTTGAAACTGATTCACCTACACCAGAGACAGCCGCCATCGTCTTTGAAACTGATTCACCTATACCAGAGACAGCTGCCATCGTCTTTGAAACTGATTCACCTACACCAGAGACAGCTGCCATCGTCTTTGAAACTGATTCACCTACAGCAGAGACAGCCGCCATCGTCTTTGAAACTGATTCACCTACAGCATAGACAGCTGCCACCGTCTTTGAAACTGATTCACCTACACCAGAGACAGCTGCCATCGTCTTTGAAACTGATTCACCTACACCAGAGACAGCTGCCATCGTCTTTGAAACTGATTCACCTACACCAGAGACAGCTGCCATCGTCTTTGAAACTGATTCACCTACAGCAGAGACAGCCGCCATCGTCTTTGAAACTGATTCACCTACAGCATAGACAGCTGCCACCGTCTTTGAAACTGATTCACCTACACCAGAGACAGCTGCCATCGTCTTTGAAACTGATTCACCTACACCAGAGACAGCTGCCATCGTCTTTGAAACTGATTCACCTACACCAGAGACAGCTGCCATCGACTTTGAAACTGATTCACCTACACCAGAGACAGCTGCCTTCCTTGTGGCCTCATCTAAAAAGTCTTAGACGAGAGGACGCCAATTTGCATCTGAAAATGCATTTTCACAAATATATTAAAATTCATGCGGCGTCATGGTATACGACATAAGTTAACGGCTCGGCGAAGCTGCCGGTGAGACCGTAATCACAGGTGAGGCTCCAACCCTCCCCGCCTCCCCTCCTCCAACCGCTCACCAGGTGAGCACCTCCACGGCGAGGATGGCGAGCACGGCGCTGTCCGTGGCCGTGCCGCTCACTCGGCCTTCGTAGCGCAGCACCACGCCCAGGTTGAGCAGCGTGGCGATGCTTGTCCACGTGGCGTACATGGCCAGCCCATTGTGAGCCTGCATCACGTGGGGGGCGGGGGCACGTGGGGGTGCACGTGAGCGTCACGTGGCGAGGGGTACGGGCGAGGGGGCGCCACGGTGGCTAGGAGATGTTAACGACCTCGCCTGGTATACAGGAGGTCGTGGGTTCGATTTTAGAAACTCAGTCGGGGGAGGGGAGGGGGGCGCAATGGGGGAGTCGATGGGAGGAGGAGTAGGGGGCTCGTGGGGGTGATGCTGTCACTCGTGGTGCGAGTGTGTGTGTGTGTCACCTCGTGTGTGTGTGTGTGTCACCTCGTGTGTGTGTGTGTCAACTAGCGAGTGTGTGTGTATATGTGTGTGTCACCTCGTGTGTGTTACCTAGCGTGTGTGTGTCACCTCGTGTGTGTGTGTCACCAAGCGTGTGTGTGTCACCAAGCGTGTGTGTGTCACCTCGTGTGTGTGTCACCAAGCGTGTGTGTGTGTCACCTCGTGTGTGTGTGTCACCTCGTGTGTGTGTCACCTCGTGTGTGTGTCACCTAGCGTGTGTGTGTTACCTCGTGTGTGTGTGTCACCTCGTGTGTGTGTCACCTAGCGTGTGTGTGTCACCTCGTGTGTGTGTCACCTAGCGTGTGTGTGTCACCTAGCGTGTGTGTGTGTCTGTGTCAAAACAACCCCTACCTCCTCGCGGTGCCGGACGGGCAACTCTGTCGTGGACAGTGCTGTGGGGGGAGGTCCAATTGTGATTGGCTCCTCCCCTCATGACATATGTGTCCACCACAGGGGCTAAACGGGGGCTCTGGACGGGTGCGAGGGGCTGGTAACCCCTCCACCTTCAATTAATTACCACTAAACCGCGAATTAAGCATATAACTAATAAGCTTGTGCCGGAGGCCCCGGGGGGCCAGGCGTCTATGACGTCTCCTGGCCAAACCCCAATTGGCGGAGCCAGGAGATTGAATATCTACCCTCGGGGCTCCACCAGAAACAACGAAAAACCACTACGGGTGGCCACGTGGAATGTTCGAACGCTCACTGCGGAGGAGAGGCTGCCACTCCTCTGTCGGGAGCTGGACCGGTACCGCCTGGATCTATGTGGCATTCAGGAGGTCCGGTGGACCGGCTCTGGCTCCTGCCACCATGAGGGGTGGACAGTCCTCTACTCGGGGCAGCAGACTGCCAAACAACAGGGTGTGGCTCTTCTTTTGAACAAAAGAATGAAGGGGGCATGGGAGCGTGGCGGTGAGGTGTGGGAAGCTGTAAGTCCCAGGCTACTTTGGGCTCGCCTTCCCATCAACTGGAGGCGAGGAATGGTGGTCGTGGTTACTTATGCCTCCACCGAAGATGAACATCCGTGGAGGGATGCAGGCAAAGCCGATGAGTCAGATGCCTTCTATGACCTCCTGTCACAGGTGCTGGCTAAAGTGGCCCCTCGGGATAGAGTCATCATGTTGGGTGACTTCAATGCCCGAGTCTTTCATGATACTGGCACCTGGTCTGGAGTGATTGGAGGGCATGGGCCAGATCAGCTCAATAACAACGGTAGGAGGCTGCTAGATTTTTGTGCAGCCCATGGGCTTGTAATTACCAACACGCTGTTCCGGCATCGGCGCATCCACACAACATCATGGATGCATGCCGGGTCCAAGCAAGAACATCTGCTGGACTACAAAGTGACGGACCAGCGGATGCGAGCCCATGTCCTTGACACCAGGACCTACCGTGGAGCTGATCTGCCCTCTGACCATCGACTAGTCATCTGTAAGATGCGCCTGCTATTCTTTCACTCCGGTGGTGGGTGTACACCCAGGACCCCATTCCAACCTAAAGTGGCCTGGTCTCAGTTATCTGATGAAAGTTGCAAGCGAGAATTTCATCATCGCTTGCGGCTGGGATTGGCATCGTCCCCGACTCCTCCAGATGTCGAGGGTAAATGGGCGAGGTTTAGGACTGTGACTCATGCAGCTGCAATAGCTGCTTTGGGTACGCGGTCCAGATTTCCCCAGAGACCCTGGCTGACAGAGGAGGTGTTCAGGATGGTTGAGAAAAAGCGACAGGCCCACTGTCATCGGCTACAGAATCCCACGTTAGAGAATGAGGAGGCTTACCGCAGCCTTCGCTCGGAGGTTCGGAGAGCCGTGAGGCACTGCAAGGATGGGTGGTGGTCGCGGGTTGCTGAGGAGATGGAGTTTGCCTCAGTGGCCCGTGATCACAAATCTCTATTTAACTCCATCAAAAAGTAATCTGGAGCGGCACACCTATTACCATCATTAGGGGAAAAAACGGTGACCCAATCTCCGATCCCCAGGAACAGGTTTGCAGATTTGCTGAGCATTTCTGTGAGGTCCTGGGGGAGGGAAAATCCCTCAGCCAGGAAAACATCGTGGCACAAAGTGAGGATGACCCTGCTGAGGCGGCGGTGCCTCAAATATTGGAAGAAGTCACCCCCTGTGAGTGGCTGGCTGAGGTGCCATCTGTTGAGGAAGTACTGAAGGCGATCCGGAGTCTGAGACCAGGAAAGGCAGCGGGCAGAGATGATCTCCCAAGCGAAATGCTGAGGGAGGGCGGCGTTTGTGCACAGACTGCCCTATATGACATCATAACAACAGTCTGGACTACTGGACGGGTTCCGCAGCATTGGAAGGATGCCCTTGTGGTCCCCCTTTTTAAGAAGGGCGACCGCACAGAATGTAACAACTACAGGGGCATCTCGCTCCTCAGTGTACCGGGAAAGGTCCTGGCAAGGATTATTCAACATCGCCTTGCCAGGCACGCTGAGGAGAGGCTTGCGGAGCCCCAATGCGGTTTCAGGAAAGGGCGGTCGTGCACAGATGCCATATTTTCTGTGCGTCTGCTACAGCAGAGGTGTAGGGAATTCCAACAAGACCTACATTTCTGCTTTATTGACCTGGTCAAGGCCTATGATACCATCAGTAGGCCTGGGCTCTGGGTTGTTCTTCGTGCTTTTGGAGTACCTGACCCTCTGCTCACGATCATTAAGGACCTTCATGATGGTGAGAGGGCCCAGGTAAAACTACGTGGCCGGGAGTCAGAGCCATTCCCTGTACACCTTGGGGTGCGACAGGGATGTCCTCTGGCTCCCACATTATTTAACATCTATTTTGACCACGTAGTTCGTGAAGCCTTCAATAGCTGTACCAGGGGAATCTCCATATGGTACAGATATAATGGGAGGCTGATCGATGCCCGGGTGCGGTCAAGGGATGGCTCCCTATTGCTCAACCACGTTATGTATGCTGATGATTTGGTAATAGCTGCTCATTCAGAGGAGGAGTTGGAGACGCTGCTGCTGAGACTGGAGCGTGCCACTAAGAGGTGGGGCCTTACCATCAGCCCCACCAAAACTAAGCACCTTCCTGGGATTTTGTACCATCAGACACTCCACCCCCACAACTCCCAATCGGTGATGGGACAGTTGTGGAGAGAGTGGAGAGTTTCCCATACCTGGGCAGTGTGCTTATGACTGGCTCCAGTTTAACAGCAGAGGTCTCACTCCGAATCAGTCGAGCAGCAATATCTTTTCATCGGTTGCGTAACGCTGTGTGGAAGCTACCTGGTCTGTCGCTCCGCTCTAAGCTTCAGGTCTTCTCGGCCACGGTCATTCCCTCCCTTCTCTACGCTTGCGAAACGTGGACCCCCCTAATGGAACATCTTCGCCGGTTAGAAACATTTAGCCTGGCCTGCCTACGATCCATCCTGGGTTTAACCAGACTGGATTGTGTGAGCTCACAAATCCTTGAAAGATCTGGGCAAGGTCCCATCGGTGAGCTCCTCCGGCGGGGAAGGCTGCGATGGCTGGGTCATGTAGCCCGCATGCCCAGCCACCGCATGCCGAAACAGCTTTTGTTCGGCCGGATTGAGGGGGCTAAGCGGGCGCGGCACGGGCTAGAGAAGAGATGGAGTGATGTGGTACAGGAGGACGTGGAGCTGAGTGGACTTGCCGATGACTGGTACCAGCGGTGTCAAGATCGGCCTCTGTGGAGGAGGCTCGTGAAGGACGCTACTGGGCAGTTGGAGGCAGTCGCCCTCCAACAACAACGGAGGGCGGAGGAGCGACGCTCACAACAACGAGCGGAGCGCCGGGTGGCTAAAGCACAGCAGGTTGCCACAGTAGGGGGCACAGGTGGTGCATCAGCCAGTCATCTCAGTCAGTCGACCCGTGGCACCTGGGTCTGCCCCGTGACCTCCTGCCAGCGGGCGTTCGACACTTCACGTGGCCTCAGGGTGCACATAGCCTGGCACAAGCGTCGTGGTGACGTCACCGCCACTTAGTGGCGAATGGCGGTTGTTGTTGTTGTCACCTCGTCTGTGTGTCACCTCGTGTGTGTGTGTGTGCCACCTAGCGTGTGTGTGTCACCTAGCGTGTGTGTGTCACCTCGTGTGTGTGTGTGTGTGTGTCACCTAGCGTGTGTGTGTCACCTCGTGTGTGTGTCACCTCGTGTGTGTGTCACCTAGCGTGTGTGTGTCACCTAGCGTGAGTGTTACTTAGCGTGTGTGTGTCACCTAGCATGTGTGTGTCACCTCGTGTGTGTGTTACCTAGCGTGTGTGTGTCACCTAGCGTGTGTGTGTCAGTCGACCCGTGGCACCTGGGTCTGCCCAGTGACCTCCTGCCAGCGGGCGTTCGACACTTCACGTGGCCTCACGGTGCACATAGCCTGGCACAAGCGTCGTGGTGACGTCACCGCCACTTAGTGGCGAATGGCGGTTGTTGTTGTTGTTGTGTGTCACCTCGTGTGTGTGGCTCCAGTTTAACAGCAGAGGTCTCACTCCGAATCAGTCGAGCAGCAATATCTTTTCATCGGTTGCGTAATGCTGTGTGGAAGCTACCTGGTCTGTCGTTCCGCACTAAGCTTCAGGTCTTCTCGGCCACGATCATTCCCTCCCTTCTCTACGCTTGCGAAACGTGGACCCCCCTAATGGAACATCTTCGCCGGTTAGAAACATTTAGGCTGGCCTGCCTACGACCCATCCTGGGTTTAACCAGACTGGATTGTGTGAGGAGCTCACAAATCCTTGAAAGATCTAGGCAAGGTCCCATCGGTGAGCTCCTCCGGTGGGCAAGGCTGCGATGGCTGGGTCATGTAGCCCGCATGCCCAGCCACCGCATGCCGAAACAGCTTTTGTTCGGCCGGATTGAGGGGGCAAAGCGGGCGCGGCACGGGCTAGAGAAGAGATGGAGTGATGTGGTACAGGAGGACGTGGAGCTGAGTGGACTTGCCGATGACTGGTACCAGCGGTGTCAAGATCGGCCTCTGTGGAGGAGGCTCGTGAAGGATGCTACTGGGCAGTTGGAGGTAGTCGCCCTCCAACAACAACGGAGGGCGGAGGAGCGACGCTCACAACAACGAGCGGAGCGCCGGGTGGCTAAAGCACAGCAGGTTGACACAGTAGGGGGCACAGGTGGTGCATCAGCCAGTCATCTCAGTCAGTCGACCCGTGGCACCTGGGTCTGCCCCGTGACCTCCTGCCAGCGGGCGTTCGACACTTCACGTGGCCTCAGGGTGCACATAGCCTGGCACAAGCGTCGTGGTGACGTCACCGCCACTTAGTGGCGAATGGCAGTTGTTGTTGTTGTGTCACCTAGCGTGTGTGTGTGTTACCTAGTGTGTGTGTGTCACCTAGCGTGTGTGTGTCACCTAGCGTGTGTGTGTCACCTAGCGTGTGTGTGTTACCGAGCGTGTGTGTGTGTGTGTTTCACCTAGCGTGTGTGTGTGTCACCTCGTGTGTGTGTCACCTAGCGTGTGTGTTACCTAGTGTGTGTGTGTGTCACCTCCTGTGTATGTCACCTAGCGTGTGTGTGTGTGTGTCACCTAGCGTGTGTCACCTAGCGTGTGTCACCTAGCGTCTGTCACCTAGCGTGTGTGTGTGTCACCTAGCGTGTGTGTGTGTGTGTGGTGCTGGCCACCCACCCCCTCCCCACGTGCCGCGCCTTCATATAAAGTGCTATTCGCGAACAGCACTTGCTCCAACAGTCTGTGAAGGCTATACGGGAACTCTTTGGTGGTAGTGGTGGCGGGAGGTGTTTGTGAGCGTTGGTTCGGGTGGGCACCAGTGCCGGACTAAGCCAGTGCGGGGCCTGTAGCATGATGTTATAAAGGTGCCCTAAATAAAAAATATATTAAAACACAATTTTTTTACTTGCATAGTAAAGTAAATGTATTTTTTCATTTGCTATACAGCCAGATAATACGACAAATCGCTAACCTTAAACACCCAGTCGTTCGTAAAAGTTGAAGGCAGTATAGTACTATAGTAATTGAGCAAGTGCAGAATCACTGAACCGGAATTGATAGCTTGCAAGCATTTAGCGCGTTGCCTTTGAGAATCAGGGGCCCATAGCATTTGCTACTTTGCGACTACGATAATCCGGCACTGGTGGGCACCAACGCTCACAGAGTGAAGGTGAGCGAGCGGGTGAGCGAGCGGGTGAGCGAGCGGGTGAGCATACCAGGATGCGGGTGAGCCACAGCTCGCGGGGAGCGATGGTTTTGAGCAGCAGCTCCGCGCTGCGGTAGGAGAGTGCGAGCATGAGGTAGAGCGTGAAGGGGACGAACGCCAGGAAGATGAGCGATGGGATAAACAGCCTGGACACCACACGCACACAAAGATCCCCCCCACCGTGTTAGCGAGCACCTCTGAAGGCCGGCACAGCACACGAAGGGGCTGGGTGGCCAGCACCACGCCCGACCGCCTTTGTATTCCGAGTGGCGATGTGTACACATCACACTAGGTTTAAAAATAAAATAATGTAGGCTGAGTCGACATAGAGGAGGCCCAGGACTGGTTCAAATAATCGTCACTGGTGAGCGGGATTCGAAGCCGGGTCGCCCGGATCGTATCGCAGTGCCCTAACCGTTACACTACCGCTCCCCACTACAAATACAAAGATCCCCCATATAGCCTTAACATAAAATTGTGGCAAGTGCTTAAAGCCAGCACCTATTAAAGCCGGAACGGCACACGAAGAGGTGGGTGGCCAGCACCACGCCCGGCCGCCTTTGTCTCCCCAGTGGGCGATGTTTACACACCGCACCGGGAACTCACTTGAGGCTGAGTGAGTAGCCCCCCCCCCCCCGCGCCTCTAGGGACGTCCCTAGCGGGGTGACTCACTCGGCGTCCCACAGGAAGAGCCAGGCCACGTTGATGACGTTGTTGAGGAGCCAGATGAGGTGGAAGGCCGGCGGCGTGGCGCTGGCCTCCGCGTAGAGGGGCCCCTCCTGGCCGCTGTGGGGCAAAGCGCAGACGGGAACCGCGGCTCAGCGGCTCGGCGCAGCCAACACCACGCGCGGTCGTGCGCTGAGCCCAGGGCAGACGTCTCGCGCGTCGGTACCAGCCGGGGTGTCAGCACGGCAATGGCTCACACTTCGTCTGTGTGGCCAACAACAGTGAAGGCCGCGGTGGCTAGGAGATGTTAACTACCTCGCCTGGTGTACAGGAGGTCGTGGATTCGATCCAGACCCTGACGCCTGCTGCTGCTGCTGTATATTTTGAGTTTGCGTCTCTCCCTCTCCCCTTGGTCGCGTGGATTTTTCTCCGGGTCCTCCGGTTTTTCCCCTCGACGTTTAGAATCAACATCACGCGTTTGGAGTATTTGGCTGCGATACATTTCCACAAGATGATAAGCCACTTGGTTGAGCTATCATTTGTGGCCAGGTCGCTTCTGAAAGAGAACCAAATAGTTAAATGGGCCTTATCTGGTCAAATGAAAAATAGTTTTGTTAAGTGAATGACGAAATGGCCACTGTAAAAGACCGGTTTATCAAGAAATTAACTCTTATTAACAATGTGAATTAATCACTACAGTACTGCTGCATGTATGTTCGCACCCTACGTAGCCAATCGTGCTAATCGGAGGTGCGGGTGAAGGACAACAAACTGAACACAAAAAGCAGTTCTAAAGAAAGCAGTCTTCAATCTAGACGATTTAAAAGTGCATAGCTCCAGTGGCCTCCTAATATCGGAAGGAAGAGCGTTCCAGACGGCCCGACCGCAGAAGCGCATCTGAAATGGCGCGATGTGGTGACCACCGTCTTTGTTAAATGCCCGAGCCAAAAGCCACCGCTGGGAGGATGACTGCTGAAGACTTCGTACCAGGGGTCGTACCAATTTCCGCTCTGGCCCACGGACTAGAGAAGTGGTTTTAAAACTGGGGGTGCACCCTGCACCCCCTGGGGGTGCGAGACACGGCCAGATTTTTTAGAAGGTAAATAATCGAAAACACAAATGAAGCACGGACACGTGAGCACGAATAGTTTGTGTCATCACCCGTCGATGTATTTTTTGACGTTGTAAATGTGTTAACGCTTAAGAACCACTCAGTGGTCGAGAGGGAGCACAGGGGGCAGCGGTCAGTGGCGCACTGGTTAGCACGCCGCACTACGAATCTGGAGAGCCCAGTTCGACGGGCGGCCTCGGCTAACATCAGTGGCGGAGTGCTGTCAAACTACAAGGGTTGGTGGATCACTGCACAAGTCGAGTGAAACTCCCCCCCCAGGAGGAGGTTGCAGTACCCTGGCTGGCCAGGAGAAGGAAGCACACAAGAGCGTGGACTAATCTCCATCTGTCTCCATCTGTAAGGGGATAGAGTGTTGCCCCCTCGCCCGTGTGGGTTTTCTCTCCGGGTGCCGCGGTTCCCTCCGACGTGTATAGTAAGCAAGACCCTTTGACTCATCGGCCGAACCAAAATAAAAAATAACGTCTTCAAATAAAACCCCCAAATGCACGAGCGGGACTCTCGTGACAGAGACTCCCACGACTCGGCGTGCATTTCCTGCGTGAATAATAAAATTATTTTTTTTTAATATATTAAAAAACATTATATTGACTGACAACAGTGTGGGGGGGGGAGGCCTTTACCCCCCCACCCCCCAGCGGTGGTTGTGCAAAAGGACCGTAAATCCCGATTGTTGGAGCACGAAGCCACAGCCACGCCTCGACACCACGGCGTGCTCGGCGTGCTCGGTGACCCTTCGTCTTTGCCCCTCTCGCCCTGAGCTCGCCCAGCTCAAACAAACGCCCCCCCCCCCCTACATCCCACCCCTCCCTCCTGTCCTTGGTTCCCCCATCGTGTTGGGCACTTCCCTCCCCCCCCACCCCCATATAGATCTTCACCCTCCCCCCCTCCCACCCACGCGGTGTCCCCACTTGGTGGTTTGGGCAGCGGGGGCCCAGTGCCACGGCTGCCTGCGGACGGCCCCGTGGCGCTGAGTGGAATTGTCGCGAATTCTCAGTCCCAACTCTGTCCCCCTCTCTTCCTTGAGGCCTCGCGGGCCCACGTTTTTGGTGGCAAATTACAACAAAAACAACAAGCAGGCACCCCCAAAGATATCACACCCCCCTCCGCTCCCCCACCCCCACAAAGATACCCCGTATAGCCTTAACAGACTGTAGGGGCAAGTGCTGTTAGCGAGCACCTATGAAAGCCGGCACGGCACACGAGGGGGTGGGTGGCCAACACACCGCCCGGCCGCCTTTGTCTCCCCAGTGGTGATGCTTACACACCGCACCAGGCACTCATTCGAGGCCGAGTCGACCTAGGGGAGGCCCAGGACCGGTTCAGATAATCGTCACCAGTGTTGGCCGTGAGCGGGAATCAAAGCCCACCCCACACTCCCACCGACAAACCCCAAGCCCCCCGTCCTTCCCACTGCCGCTCGCCCGGAGCGCCTCACCGGCGCCAGAGTGCGGAGAGCGCGTGCGTGACCCAGAGGGCGTTCCACGCGTAGATGAAGCCCCAGATGCTGAACGTCCACCCAGCCGGAGTGACGCCCAGCGAGTAGCGGCCCGAGATGGCGCCCGTCGTGTTCCTGAAGAGTCCTGGGTCACGGCGACACCACGGGACGGATGGACGGGATGGAGGAGGAGCGGTCAAGTGGGGTCAGCGGGTGGGGGTCAGCAGGTGGGGTCAGCAGGTGGGGTCAGGAGGTGGGGTCAGCGGGTGGGGGTCATCAGGTGGGGTCAGCAGGTGGGGTCAGGAGGTGGGAGTCAAGAGGTGGGAGTCAGGAGGTGGGGGTCAGCAGGTGGGGTCAGCAGGTGGGGTCAGGAGGTGGGGGTCAGCAGGTGGGGTCAGCAGGTGGGGTCAGGAGGTGGGGTCAGCGGGTGGGGGTCAGCAGGTGGGGTCAGCAGGTGGGGGTCAGCAGGTGGGATCAGCGGGTGGGGTCAGGAGGTGGGGTCAGCAGTGCGGGGTCACCTTTAATGGAGCCGGTGGCGGCTGCTATGTTGAAGATGATCATGGCGACGAAGGAGACGAGAGAGAGAACCGGCAGCGCGGCACGAACGGCGTGTGGGGCACCCATCACAATGCGGCCTGGGCACAGGGCAGATAAAACTCGGTACTCACGACAACATGCCGTTTGGCATTCCGAGTGCGCACATCTCCGCGCTTTTGTGAACGCGCTCCTTTCAGGTATTGCACATCGGACGAAGGCGTTTGAAGTCGTTGCAGACAACCGCGAATCTGCATGGCGTGTAATGTAGGGTCACGTGAGCGGTAGCGGCAGCGGCTTGGGGAGGCCTTCATCCAGCAGTGGATTGATCATGCCTGATAATCATGATGATTGTTGTCGTATTTTGCGTAACAAAAAAATATTAATCGATTTTCACATACCTTGTTGAAGTCCCCGGTGTGAGAATCAATTTAAGTCGTTCTACTCCCGATGATGATGCTGATGATGCTGCTGCTGTTGATGATGATGCTGCTGCTGCTGCTGATAATGATGCTGCTGATTATGCTGCTGATGATGATAAAGCTGCTGATGATGATACTGCTGATGATGATGAAGCTGCTGATGATGCTGCTGATGATGATGCTGATGATGATGAAGCTGCTGATGATGCAGCTGCTGATGATGCTGCTGCTGCTGATGAAGCTGCTGATGAAGCTGCTGATGATGATGATGATGCTGCTAATGACTGAGACGAAGCTGAGACTGGTCCACAAGCAGCTCGACCGGCCGTCCAGGTCCCAACTTGTCTGTAAGAAAGCAAGAACACAAAATATCACGCACACACGCACACGTACATACACATACACACACATACACTCACACACATACAAAAGATCCCCCGTATAGCCTTAACAGACTGTAGGGGCAAGTGCTGTTAGCGAGCACATACACACATACATACACACACATACACACACACACGCACACACACGCGCGCACATACACACGCACTAACACACACGCACAAACACACGCACACACAAGCACATACACACACGCGCACACACGCACGCACACGTACGCACACGCACGCACACACACGCGCACACACACATGCACACGCACACATGCACACACACGCGAACACACACACACGCACATACACACACACGCGCACACACACGCACACACACACATGCATACACACGCACACACACACATGCATACACACGCACGCACACACGCGCACACACATGCACACAGAGGCGCGCGCGTGTCACACGACACTTGCTCCGCGAGTCCGCGCGTGTGTGTGCGCGTGTGAACGAGTTGGTGTGTGTGTGCGTGTGTGTGCATGTGTGTGTGCGTGCGAGTGAGAGTGAGTGAGTGAGAATGAGTGAGTGTGAGTGAGTGAGAGTGAGTGAGTGTGTGTGAGTGAGTGTGAGTGAGTGTGAGTGAGTGAGAGTGAGTGTGGGTGAGTGTGAGTGAGTGAGTGTGAGAGAGTGAGTGTGGGTGAGTGAGTGTGAGTGAGTGGGGGTGAGTGTAAATGAGTGAGTGTGAGTGAGTGTGTGTGAGTGAGTGAGTGTGAGTGAGAGTGAGTGTGGGTGAGTGAGTGTGAGTGAATGTGGGTGAGTGTAAATGAGTGAGTGTGAGTGAGTGAGAGTGAGTGAGTGTGAGTGAGTTAGTGAGAGTGAGTGAGTGTGAGTGAGTGTGAGTGAGTTAGTGAGAGTGAGTTAGTGAGAGTGAGTGAGTGTGAGTGAGTGAGTGTGAGTGAGTGAGTGTGAGTGAGTGACAGTGAGTGTGGGTGAGTGAGTGAGTGTAAATGAGTGAGTGTGAGTGAGTGAGTGTGAGTGAGTTAGTGAGAGTGAGTGAGTGTGAGTGAGTGAGTGTGAGTGAGTTAGTGAGAGTGAGTTAGTGAGAGTGAGTGAGTGTGAGTGAGTGAGTGTGAGTGAGTGAGTGTGAGTGAGTGAGAGTGAGTGTGGGTGAGTGAGTGTAAATGAGTGAGTGTGAGTGAGTGAGAGTGAGTGAGTGTGAGTGAGTTAGTGAGAGTGAGTGAGTGTGAGTGAGTGCGTGTGAGTGAGTTAGTGAGAGTGAGTGAGTGAGAGTGAGTGAGTGTGAGTGAGTGAGTGTGAGTGAGTGAGTGTAAGTGAGTGACAGTGAGTGTGGGTGAGTGAGTGAGTGTAAATGAGTGAGTGTGAGTGAGTGAGAGTGAGTGAGTGAGTTAGTGAGAGTGAGTGAGTGGGAGTGAGTGAGTGTGAGTGAGTGAGTCCTTGTGAGTTCCCCACGGCAGGCGTGAAGTCGCTTCTCTCTCTGTCTCAGTCTCTTCTCGCAATGGCGCTCGTTACAAAACACGGGAGTTGTGTAAGACTCAACAAAAGGGAGTTCTGTAAGACGCTCAATGCTGCTGCATCCCCCCCACTGCTGCTGCTGGGTTGGGGGGATTGGGGGTGGGGTCAGGGTCAGGGTTAGGGGGCTGTCTGCCATCGTAACCCGAGACCTCTGGTTGGAACATTACACAACAACACTTTAACAATCGCACACACACAGCATCACACACACAGCATCGTCACGCACAGCATCATCACACACAGCATTAAACAACAACAACAACCGCCATTCGCCACTAAGTGGCGGTGACGTCACCACGACGCTTGTGCCAGTCCATGTGCACCTTGAGGCCACGTGAAGTGTCGAACGCCCGCTGGCAGGAGGTCACGGGGCAGACCCAGGTGCAGGGGTCGACTGACTGAGATGACTGGCTGATGCACCACCTGTGCCCTCTACTGTACCAACCTGCTGTGCTTTAGCCACCCGGTGCTCCGCTCGTTGTTGTGAGCGTCGCTCCTCCGCCCTCCGTTGTTGTTGTTGGAGGGCGACTACCTCCAACTGCCCAGTAGCGTCCTTCACGAGCCTCCTCCACAGAGGCCGATCTTGACACCACTGGTACCAGTCATCGGCAAGTCCACTCAGCTCCACGTCCTCCTGTACCACATCACTCCATCTCTTCTCTAGCCCGTGCCGCGCCCGTTTAGCCCCCTCGATCCGGCCGAACAAAAACTGTTTAGGCATGCAGTGGCTGGGCATGCGGGCTACATGACCCAGCCAACGCAGCCTTGGCTGTCCAGATCTTTCAAGGATCTGTGAGCCCCTCACACAATTCAGCCTGGTTAAACCCAGAATGGATCGTAGGCAGGCTAGCCTAAATGTTTCTAACCGGCGAAGATGTTCCATTAGGGGGGTCCACGTTTCGCAAGCGTAGAGAAGGCAGGGAATGACCGTGGCCGAGAAGACCTGAAGCTTAGTGCGGAGGGACAGACCAGGTAGCTTCCACACAGCGTTACGCAACCGATGAAAAGATATTGCCGCTCGACTGATTCGGAGTGAGACCTCTGATGTTAAACTGGAGCCAGTCATAAGCACACTGCCCAGGTATGGGAAACTCTCCACTCTCTCCACAACTGTCCCATCACCGATTGGGAGTTGTGGGGGTGGAGCGTCCAATGGTACAAAATACCCAGGCAGGTGCTTCGTTTTAGTGGGGCTGATGGTAAGGCCCCACTTCTTAGTGGCAAGCTCCAGGTTCATCAGCAGCGCCTCCAACTCCTCCTCTGAGTGAGCAGCAATTACCAGATCATCGGCATACATGATATTGTCGAGCAATAGGGAGCCATCCCTTGACCGCACCCGGGCATCGATCAGCCTCCCATTGTAACTGTACCAGATGGAAATTCCTCCGTTACAGCTATTGAAGGCTGCACGAACTACGTGGTCGAAATAGATGTTAAATAATGTGGGAGCCAGTGGACATCCCTGTCGCACCCCAAGGTGAACAGGGAATGGCTCCGACTCCCGCCCACGTAGTTTTACCCGGGCCCACTCACCATCATGAAGGTCCTTAATGATCGTGAGCAGCGGGTCAGTGACTCCAAAAGCGCGAAGAACAATCCAGAGCCCAGGCCTACTGATGGTATCATAGGCCTTGACCAGGTCAATAAAGCAGAGATGCAGGTCTTGTTGGAATTCCCTACACCTCTGCTGTAGCAGACGGACAGAAAAGATGGCATCTGTGCAGGACCGCCCTTTCCTGAAACCGCATTGGGGCTCCGCAAGCCTCTCCTCAGCGTGCCTGGCAAGGCGATGTTGAATAATCCTTACTAGAACCTTTCTGGCACACTGAGGAGTGAGATGCCCCTGTAGTTGTTACAGTCTGTGTGGTCCCCCTTCTTAAAGAGGGGGACCACCAGGGCATCCTTCCAATCCTGCGGAACCCACCATTGGTCCAAACTGTTGTTATGATGTCATATAGGGCAGTCTGTGCACAAACGCCACCCTCCCTCAGCATTTCGCTTGGGAGATCATCTCTACCCGGTGCCTTTCCTGGTCTCAGACTCCAGATCGCCTTCAGTACTTCCTCAACAGATGGCACCTCAGCCAGCAACTCACAGGGGGTGACTTCCTCTTCCAATATTTGTGGCACCGCAGCCTCAGCAGGGTCATCCTCACTTTGTGCCACGATGTTTCCACTTGCCCCATGATGTAGGTGTGGTGCTGTAGACCCCATCTCCTTAGCAACCCGCGACCACCACCCATCCTTGCAACGCCGCACGACTCTCCGCACCTCGGAGTGAAGGCTGCGGTAAGCCTCCTTATTCTCTGACGTGGGATGATGTAGACAGTGAGAGTGGCCGGCCTGTCGCTTTTTCTCAGCCAGCTGGAATACCTCCTCTGTCAGCTAGGGTCTTTGGGAAGGTCTGTACCATGTACCCAAAGCAGCCATTGCAGGTGCATGAGCCACAGTCCTAAACCTCGCCCATTTCCCCCCGGCATCAGGAGGAGTGGAGGACGATTCCAACCCCAACTGCATGCGATGATTAAATTCTCGCTTGTAGCTTTCATCAGGTAGCTAAGACTAGGCCACTCTGGGTTTCAATGGGGTGCTGGATGTACACCCACCACTGGAATGGAAGAATGGCAGGCACATCTTACAGATGACAAGCCGATGGTCAGTGGGCAGATCAGTTCCACGGTAGATCCTGTTGTCAAGGAGATGGGTCTGCATCCCCTGTTCCATCACTATGTAGTCCAGCAGATGTTATTGCTTGGACCCGACGTACATCCGTTGATTTTGTGTGGATGCGCTGATGCCGGAACAGCGTGTTGGTAATTACAAGCCCATGGGCTGCACTAACGTCTGGCAGCCTCCTACCGTTGTTATTGAGCTGATCTGGCCCATGCCTTCCAATCATTCCAGACCAGGTGCCAGCATCATGACCAACTTGGGCATTAACGTCACCCAACAGGATGACTCTATCCCGAGGGGCCACTTTAGCTAGCACCTGTGACAGGAGGTCATAGAAGGTATCTGACTCATCGACCTTGCCTGCATCCCTCCACTGGTGTTGTTCGTCGGTGGGGGCATAAGTAACCACGACCACCACTCCTCGCCTCTGGTTGATGGAAAGGTGAGCCCAAAGTAGCCTGGGGCTTTCAGCTTCCTTCACCTCACCGCCACGCTCCCACGCCCCCTTCATTATTTTGTTCAGAAGAAGAGCCACACCCTGTTGTTTGGCAGTCTGCTGCCCCGAGTAGAGGACT